GATGATAAATTAACAATAAATAAACACCCTTACACACACACAATACACATAATTGTTACAATAAAAATACAAAACTTAAATATAAAATATAATAAAATTTGTGAAACTCCTACAGTATATATATAGTCTATATATATATATAAATATATATATATATATATAGAGAGAGAGAGAGAGAGAGAGAGAGAGAGAGAGAGAGAGAGAGAGAGAGTCACCGGCCACTTTATTAGGTACACTATACTAGTATCGGGTTGGACTTCCTTTTGTCTTCAGAACTGCCTTCTTCAGAGATTTTGGTCCATACTGACATGATAGCATTACGCAGTTGCTGCAGATTTATCGGCTGCACATCCATGATGCGAATCTCCCGTTCCACCACATCCCAAAGGTGCTCTATTGGTTTGAGTTCTGGTGACTGTGGAGGCCATTTTAATAGAGTGAACTTATTGTCATGTTCAGTGAACCAGTCTGAGATGATTCTCGCTTCATGACATGGCGTGTTATCCTGCTGTTAGTAGCCATCAGAAGACAGGTATTCTGTGGTCATAAAGGGATAAACATGATCAGAAACAACACCCAGGTAGGTTGTGGCGTTAACACGATGCTCAATTGGTACAAATGAACCTTAAGTGTGCCAAGAAAATATCACTCACACCATTACACCACCACCACCAACCTGAACCATTGATACAAGGCAGGATGGATCCATGCTTTCATGTTGTTGACGCCAAATTCTGATCCTACCTTCCAAACGTTGCAGCAGAAATCAAGACTCATCAGTCCAGGCAACGTTTTCCCAATCTTCCATTGTCTAATTTTGGTGAGCATGTGTGCATTGTACCCTCAGTTTTCTGTTCTTAGCTGACAGGAGTAGCACCCAGTGTGGTCTTCTGCTGCTGTAGCCCATCTGCCTCAATGCTTGACGTGTTGTGGATTCAGAGATGCTCTTCTGCAGACCTCGATTGTAATGAGTGCTTATTTGAGTTACTATTGCCATCAACTCAAACCAGTCTGACCATTCTTCTCTGACATCAACAAGGCATTTGCGCCCACAGAACTGCCGCTCACTGGAAATTTTCTCTTTTTCGGACCATTCTTTGTAAATCCAAGAGATGGTTGTGTGTGAAAATCCCAGTAGATCAGCAGTTTCTGAAATACTCAGATCAGCCCGTGGGGCACCAACAACCATGCCATGTTCAAAGTCAATTAAATCCCCTTTCTTCCCCATTCTGATGCTCGGTTTAACCTGCAGCAGATCGTCTTGACCATGTATACATGCCTAAATGCATTGAGATGCTGCCATGTGATTGGCTGATTAGAAATTTGTGATAACGAGTTGTTGGATAGGTGTACCTAATAAAGGGGTCGGTGAGTGTATGCCTCTTTAATAACCTTAAGCAATAATATATTACCGTTTCTTACAAATACTTGTAAATATGGTTTATGAGGACTCATAGGTATATAGGCATAATGTATTTTATATAGTAAATAGCACTTATCATAGAGTCTTACTCTTCCCCTACCACTAAACCCAAATTATTTAAATGTCAAACAACCCCATTTAGCATGATTTTTAACGAACACAAGACATGTCCTTATAAACCACCTATATAGAGTAACTAAGTCATAGCCGTGTCATTATGCAGTTCTATGTCCTCGTAAACCACAAAAACAAGCACAAAAACTAACACAGAAATAATGTAGCAGAAAGAGTGAGACTCAAGGTTTGTCAGCGAAACAGAGAGCACATCACATAATAAACACTCATTTCTAAAAGCCCTGGTCAACTCCGAACAAAGGAAGACACAATGAAAAGAGGAACTAAAAAGGAAACATGAGAACCCAGCAGAACAAATAGATTTGGAAGATGAAACGTCCTCATCTGAAACTCAATGGCGCTCTCACTTTTTGACTGTAATATTATCAATATGAATGTTTACGAATAATTCATTATTGTCTTTTTTAAGTGCCCTTTTAAACAGAGTCTGATTGAAGCAGCATTATGAAGAGCCACTTTGATGATGTAAATGTGACACTCTCTATTTATCTTGGTACATAATGACACATGTACTCGGATGACAAACGCAGGACTCCAGATTTCAGCAACGAGTGACAAGATCAAAGAAAAAAACACCCCCACCCCCCCTTGATCCTCCTCTTTCGTGATGTGAATGATGCACAAACCATTGTCACTCATTCAAGAGGTGCTAATTGGCTGCGCTCACGACACACGGCCAGACACAGAAGCCACATGGAAAGAGAGGACGTGAATTCACACTGTCATTTGAGGCACAAGATATATAAATATCAGACTAGCATAAAAACAAATTTGCAAATGCTGAAGAGACAGTCGTTGGTGTATTTACGTCCCCTTTGGATGTCAGTGCCCATTGGAGTGGATGGCAGACTGATAGTCTGAAAGACATAGACGGATAGATAGATAGATAGATAGATAGATAGATAAATAGATAGATAGATAGATAGATAGATAGATAGATAGATAGATAGATAGATAGATAGATAGATAGATAGATAGATAGATAAAATACAAGGGAGGGATAATTGGATGGATGGATGAATATGTATATATATATATATATATATATATATATATATATATATATATATATATATATATATATATATATATATATACATACATACATATATATATATATATACATACATACATATATACACACACACACATATATATATATATATATATATATATATATATATACATACATACATATATATATATATATATATATATATACACAAACATACATATATATATATATATATATATATATATATATATATATATATATATATATACATATACATACACACACACATATATATATATATATATATATATATATATATATATTAAGAGGAATTGACGGACAGACAGACAAAAAGACAGACAGGCAGGCATAGTAAGACAGATAGACTAATAAGTCAGATAGACCTGTCAGATCGAGAGACAGAAAGACTGGCAATCTGACAGACATAAACAGAAAGACGGTGAGAAAGATAAAAAGACAATGAAACAAAGAGTCAGAAAGACAGAGATATATACAGTCAGACAGACAGATAGTCATAGACATAAAGAGTCAGATAGACGGACAGACACAGACATATAGATAGAGTCAGATACAGACAGCGAGACAGACAGTAGCCAGACACATACATAAAGTCAGACAGACAGATATAAAGACAAATAGAGCCAGTCAGAAGACATAAACTGACTGAGACAAATATAGATTGACTTATAGATAGATATCAATGGACAAATAGAGGTTTTATATTCGTTTACATTTATGACCTATATATTAATATGCGTTCTACTATTATGCATGTTGTATGTATATACATTGATTTTCTTTTCGGATTAGTCCCTTTATTAATCTGGGGTCGCCAAAGCGGAATGAACCACCAATGGAGTGGATGCCCTTCCAGCTGCTCCCATTTCTGGGAAACATTCATACAAACTCATTCACATACATACACTACAATTTCGCTCACCCAATTCACCTGTACCGCATGTCTTTGGACTTGAGGCATAAAAACGATGATGACGAAGAAAATCTCAATGATGTTTTTTCAGCATAGCAGTCTCAAAATACATGGCAGTACCTTCCTAAACTCAAACCTTTGTACTGTTTTTGATGTTGCCTTTAGATGCTAATGAAGTTACTCCCTGGCTGTGGACCCAGCTGTTCTCCCTATCTCTCCATGTTAAAGCAGTTTCAACACCCATTCCCATTCTACAATTGTTACCATTTTGTCGAGATGTAGTCACCTGAAACGATGCATAGACAAGGCACTGTTGACTTCTCTTTTCTCTCATAAATCAGCCCTTTTGGGAAATGAGCATCAAATCACCATTTAAAGTGGAAGATGGGTCGAGGCAGACTCATTTCTTACAAGGGGGAAACCGGAGCACCTGGAGGAAACCCATGCGAACATGCAAACTCCACACAGAAATGCCAGCCCTGCTGAAAAAAACCAGCTTAAGGTTGGCTGGTTTAAGCAGTTTTTTTTAGCAGGGAACTGACCCAGCCAGGGCTCAAACCAGCAACCTTTTTGCTGTGAGGCGATTGTGCTAACCACTGCACCACTGTGCTGCCCGTTGTATTCTTGTGTATGTGCATATATATATATTTATACAACAGTTCAGTCTGGTTCTCGAATCTGATTGGCTGATAGCCGTGATATATTTAAAATCAGCACCCGTACAGCCTCTTTACCCTTTGTGTATTACTCCGCCCACATACAGCAAGCAAAAAGCAGACCTACAGATCTAAAGTTTAAAAGATGCTTGCTCAGCTGTTAAACTGTCAGCTTATGATTTGAATCCAACGCGGAAGAAAGTAGTTCCTCATACAAAAGGGTTTTTGAGACTTTCCATGCTTGATTTTGTTTTTATAAACACAATTACGCCGTCAAACTGTTGTATAAACAAAATATCACACTTGTAGCAATGCGATATGGCTGTATATCAGCACTGGTTGAGGCACTAAGGCACTCGGCCGCAAGTTACACACTCCTCCCACCAGTGCCGATATACAGCCATATCGCACTGCTACTCGTGTGATATTGCTCATATATATATATAGTGGTTTGTTCTTATTTATGTACTTTGACTTGTCCACCCAGTACCTTTACATGCACACAAACACAGACCTGCCTGTATCATACTGTTTTTTTTTTTTTGCCTGTTTTGTTTTTCATCTTTGCTCTTTGTTGTTCCCTCTCTAATGTATGTCTCAATATTATTTGTATATCTCAATGCATAATAATAAATAGATAGTAAATCAGACAGACATATAAAAACAAATAACATAAATATACATAGACCAGAACAACATTTAGATAAATAGACAGAAGGAGGTGTATATTTAAATCATAAAGACAGACAAATATGAATCTAAAAAATAATAATTGTATATATGATAATGTAATATTTCTGGGAAAAAATAAACTCTAGAGACAGTCACTGATTTATTTACGTCACTGTTCACAGCAGCAGATGGCATGTATCATAAGCTCTCGTCGGTTATTTTCACAGTGACACATTCAGTAAAATGTAAATCAACATACATTCAAAAACTCCGTTCACTACAGACTTCAATCCAATGGGCCAAACATATTAACAGTCTGATGAAGACCGGCTATGGGGAATCAGATAGAGACATGTATATATCCTAAGCATTGCATGCGACAGAGGGGATTAAATGCACTCATGCATTATTGAGCAGATGCGTGTTGTCCTGGGGAACGCATGAAGCCTGTTCTGTTCCTCTGATCGGCCGACAGACACTGCAGACTTTATGAGACAGTCAGAGTGTTGAATCCTGCTTCAGTCGGAGTCTGAGTCACTGCCGGCCCTGACCTTCTGCTTCTTCTTTTTCTTCTTGTGTTTCTTCTTTTCTTTCTTCCTCTTCTCCTTTTTCTTCTTCTTCTTCTTCCGGCTGTGATCAGAGGAGGAGGATGATGATGATGAAGAAGAAGTGGAGTCTGAGTCGGAGGTTGTGTCCTGAAGCAGCTGTTTTAACTGCTGGATCCTATAAGGAGGAAAAAGAACACATACAAATAATGTTGAATTATTTTAATGACAACAACACACACACACACTTAGATGCAAGCAATAATAAAACACGTATAACATAATACTTTATAATGTTATGCCCTATAATATAATCAGGGTTCCCACTCTTTTCTGAACAGCAAATTCAAGGACTTTTCAAACAGCAGTAATTTTGTGCCATACTTTTGTCAAAATACTTCAGCATATGTACTGCCATGAAATACATTACTGTACTTAACATTTCACTTACACTAAACTTACATAAAAAAAATCATAGTAATGATAAACAGTCATGTTAATACAATTTGTTGAATTCAATACTGGTAATCTTCAAATGCAGTCTCTGAAAAGTTGATCAAATGTGCATTGTGTGTCAGTTTTTGTGCAAGATTTAAAGTTAAAGTTAAAAGTTATTGATTTAATGATTCATTGATTATTATTATTTAATTTTTTTATTTGTTTTTTATTTTATTTATTGTTATTATTCTAATTTCTTTGTATTTGTATTTAAACCTGCATGTACAATTGTATATTTGTTAATTTTTGGCTATTGTGAGCGCTATCCTGCTGTTGGATTGGTATGGGTCTGGGGCTTGTATTGTTGTTCCTTCCCATTTGAAAATTTGAAAATCAATAAAAAAATATCTAAACAAAAAAGTTAGATAAAGTTTTTGATAGGCAGATTAGTGCAATTGTTGAAATAAAACCATAAATGAAACCACAAACATAGAATTTAGGCACTTTCAAGAACCTACATTTGTTTAAGTACTTTCCAGACCTTGAAATCATGTCTGAAATTCAAGCACTTTCAAGAAGTTTGGGAACCCTGTATAATATTATATATCTATATACAGTTGAAATCAGAATAATTACCTCACCTGTTTATTTCCTCAATTTCTGTTTAACAGAGAGACGATATGTTCAACACATTTCTAAAAATAATAGCTTTAATAACTCAATTCTCATAACTGATTTATTTTATCTTCGCCATGATGACAGTACATAATATTTTACTAGACGTTTTTCAAGACACTTCTATACAGCTTAAAGTGACATTTAAAGGCTTAACTAGGTTAATTAGGTTAACTAGGCAGGTTAGACCTTAAAAAAAAAGACTTTCTCCACAGGAAAAAATATTATGAGACATATATAAACACTATATCCGTGCAATATTCTGCCAGTTACAGCACTCGTACCATTAAGCAACAAGCCGAGGACACTCTACAGTTTGACAAATATTGCAGCTGTTGGACAACAATGTACATTTGAGGCTTTTTTAAGTCGAGAATGTAGTTGTTTAGATTGCAACTATACAGTTTAATAATATTGATAGTGCCTATTTTAACAAGTGTATAATTTCTGAGAGCCAGAGCATTGGTGGCGATTAGCCTTTTATTGAACAGACCAAAGACAGTTGTCGTTGTCTATCCACAAGATGGAGACAGAGACCACATAATAAGCCCTTAGAAGATTAAAACAGCTTAATTTCTAACTACTGCTGATCAAATCATTATTAAACAGGTAAGTGACATTCCAAGTCGCTCTTTCTTTTGTATGTTGTGGTGCTGTATTTATACCATATAATTGTAGTGTATTGAGTGTGAGATAGCACTCGCATATCAGGAATGTGTATTGTGTCGGGAGAAAGAAAGACAAAATTCTCGCATGTGTTTAGCGTTTTTCCTTATCGCAAACACAACAGCAATCTGGTAGTGATTGCGCTGCTTTTTTCACGGTTAATTATTGTGATATCCTGATTGCAATAGAAAAAAACTGTAGACTGTAATACTGTAAGGAGATAGCCCTGGCATTTCATGTCACGTTCAGCCTTCTAATCTTAAGATGCTAGCAAAATCAGCTGTTCTGTCATCACTTAAGACATTACCCTAGAGAATCATTCAAACACTAGCTCTAAAGTGACGTTGATGAATTAGTAACGGTTTCTGCTGTTCTGACGTCAGCTGCAGATGTGAAGAAATGGGGGTAGTACTTACTAATTTAAAAAAAAAATTAGACTCCGTGTTTGATTTTGATTTTCAAATACACAACCATGCTATCAAACTGTTGTATAAACGCAGTATTACACTCGTAGCAGTGCGATATGGCTGTATATCGTCACTGGTGGGCTACGAGTGTGATATTGCTTATATTGCATATAAGTTAATAAAATATAAAATGTTATACTAATAATATTAAAACAGCAAATATTAATATATACGGCACAAAGCAGTAAAGAAGTAAACATGTTATACATACGCTTGCAACACTATTTATTTATTTTTTTAAAGTTTTGTGGGCTAGTGGCATTCAAAGTACAACTTTGAGCAGCTTTAAAAAATTGCACCAAATGTATCTACTACTGATTTGAGCAACATAAAGAGGAAGATAACCTTCCTCTGCCACACTGACCTAAAAGCATTAACAATTCATCAGATTACTGTTGTTCAGAGGCTTCACATCCTCAACTGCTTTCATTCTCTACATGCTGTGAGCACTGCATTAATGCTAAAGTGCATCAGTTTGGATTTTCAGCTTTTTCTAAAAGCGGTTCTTGATTTCAATGATGTTTTTTTAACTTTAGATAGCGTGAATGTTGCTGATTAACAACATCTGCAAAATTTTGATGCTCAACAGATCAATGCATAGGGAGATATTATATTCTACAGAATCTGTCTTTAAAGGCAGACAAGAAACATCTGATCCACTGCAATAAGCCCCTTCCTCTGTGTTTGTGACATTGCAAACCATGAAATTTACAAAAATCCTGCCCCCAAGTGTGCAAAAGTTGTCTCTCTGAGGGAGGATCTTCATTTTTAGGAGAATGATGGTAACCCCCTGTTATTGGAAGTTGGGTTCTGTTTTAATAAATCCATGCTCCATCAATAGTATTTTCATTAAATCAATATTCATTATGATCAAATCAACAATCAAATCTAGAACTTATCAATCTGAATCTAGAACATGTCACAGTTCACCCAATAAACACATTAACACAATCACCACTTCGAAAATAGCTGATTGACCACTTTAAATAAATGACTCCTTGTTTTCCAACATCTTGCAGAAAAATTCAGATTTCCAGCCTCGGGAGAATGTTTAGAAACAGTACTGTGGCGTAAATGTGGAGCTCAGCAATGTGCGCCTGTAACAATCTATCAAAACGGCCCACATTTGGTTTTCCATCCCACATTAGGGTTTGTAATTACTCCCATGAAGCAGGAGCTGTTGTCAGCACACAGCAGAGGGATAATCACAGAGGAGGAAAGAGTAACAGAGTTGCGTAATTGTCTGCAACAGGGCTCTTTTGTTGAACTGACACCATTCGTCAACACTGGCCTCCGAGAGACCTCAAAACACCAACGATTTTATTAACAATCATATCCGGCAGAGGCTGTGCATTGTTAAAAGCTCTTCATCTCATTTGAACAATACTGCAACTTTAAAAGTTATAAAAGTTGAGTTTTTTTATACTCAACAACGATGCATTAAATTGATTAGTAGTGAAAGTGCAACAAACGATATTTATTACATTCTTAAAATTAATAAATCATTATTTTCAGCAAAATACAATTTTATATCATATTATAATGATGTCTGAAAGATCATGTAGTACTGGAGACCGCAGTATTGATGCTGATATTCAGCTTTTCAAGCTCTTCTAAAAACATATTAAAATAAAACTATAATTTAAATACACAGATTTTTAAATATATTCAATATTTTACATTAGTAGGGTTTTTGTTGTATTTTTTATTAAGTAAATGCAGTCTTAGTGATTTTAAGCACTGATGGAAAGAGTACTGAAAAATCATATTCAAGTAAAAGTACCATTACTTGCCTAAAAATGTAGTGCGAGTAAAAGTATCTGCTGTAAATATTACTCAAACTTTGAGTAAAGAGTAGCCCTTTTAAAAGTACTCAAGAGTAGTGAATATTACGCTGAGAAAAGCTGATGCATTTACATGTAATTTGTGAAAGTGTGCAAACGTAATATTCTGTAGTGCATTTAGTTATTGAAAAGCAGGCACACAGTGACGTGACCAAAATTCAGAATCTAGCCAGTGTCTAAGGACAACGTTATTTTGATGTCCAATAACGACGTCAAATACTGACATTTATTTATCAGGTATGGCAACCAAAATCCAATGTCTGATAGACGTCATGTTTGTAACATCCACACAACGTCAAGCTGTAACATCAGTAGACGTTGATATTTGGTTGATTTTAGGTTGGTTGTTGGACATTGATGTCGGCCTGAGTTCTGATGTCAAGCCGATTTTCATTTCCAAACAAAATGCAATGTTCCCATGATGTTAGGATACAACGTCAATCTGACGTTATGTTGACGTCTTGTGCCTGCTTCGTGTTTAAAGCCATTTCGGTCATAATACAGCAAACATCCTTCATCTTTTCATCAGTGACATGCATCTAAATGGTATCTGAGTGTCAATGCATGTAAAGATTTTGGACATCTTGGACACTTTTAATACTTCCAAACAGTTTTCTGTAATTATAAGCAGCCATGTCTTAAGGTAGTTTATTGGGATGCGATTTACCTTCTATGTGCGATTTGATTGGATAGGAATCACAGGACTTGAAGTTATTTGAGTTTTTGTAATTTCTTACTTTACACCGTTGACTTTAAGAAAGCTTTTAATTTATTTTAAGCAAATTAATTTAATATTTCTCAACTTTTTAACTGCAGGGAACAGGATTGAGAGGCTAGATAGGTCATATACAGGAATCAAAGTAAATATCAATACCTTTAATAAGACTCTTTCAATACAACTTTAAAACCTTATCATAACTTTAGGGTTCAATCTGTAACGTTGACCACATTTTAACTTGCAGTATATTTACTAAATACTGATATTAATTTTGCTTTTGGACATTCATCACTATCAACACAACAATTCAGTTAACATTAGTGTGGGCAGTTGATGATTTAAAATGGACTGAATAACAGATTAGTGTCTGTTTTTGCAAAATTATGCAGCATAAAACCTTCAACTAAACTAAAACATTAAACATATACAGAATAAAAAAAGCTAATTCACTTTCTTCTAGCAGGTGGCGCCTTTACAATGATAAAATCTAGATAGGATACACGGCTGTCCAGATCTGCGATATGCACATTAATATAGCAGCATTTTTATAAAACTGTATAGCAATAATTAATACGTTTACAGTACTGTGACGGTTGGTTTATGGTTAGGGTAGGAGCAGACATAAAAAATACTATTTACTGGGTAATTTAATAGATAACATAAACAATACTCCGTGCAACTACTGTTTTTACGTTACTGTGACGGTTGGGTTTAGATTAGGAGTAGAGATTAATAAAATACAATTTATTTGGTAATTTAATATATAACATAAATAATACTTGGTACAACTACTGTTTTTACAGTATTGTGACGTTTGGGTTTATGGTTGGGGTAGAGTTAAATGTTAATAAAATACGATAAATGGGAAATTTAATAAATATTGTAAATCATTTTCGTTAACTTTCGGCCGCAGACTTGGTTACTGCAGTAAACACAGTGTGTTGTCAAATTAAAGGATTATTTCGATACTACGCAGCATTCCAACATTCACAGATTAAATTCAAGCAAACATAAGCATACAAATATACATTACATAATAAAAATTAAACAAAATTTCATATGTTGTAAAATAACATTTAAGATTAAATACGTATTTAATAGTATTTTAAATTTCTCTAAACTGAATCATCAACTTTTAAGACTCTGAACACCCTGCTAGATATTACATATTGGTGTCCACATCAAATTATTTTCAAAAAAGATATTACAGTTAGTACATAGAAAGCATATTAAATGGATGTGAAGTGTCTATTTGATAGTTGAAAAATTGTTTTATATTTACTCACAGGTCATCCAACATGTAAGTAATCTTGTTTTTCATTCAGTAGAACATTAAAGAAGATTTGAGCTGAAACAGTGATCCTCGGGGAGTGATAAAATGCAAGCCAATGGTTACCCTCATTGATATGAAATAAGCATATCAGGCCATGAAAAATTAATTACTGTGTCTGCTGGCATCATATGAAGCAGAACAGTTTGTCTGTGCAAGAAACTGAAGAACATTTACCACATTATTACCCCCATTTGAGTTTTTAAAGTCATTTATGGTTATTTAATGATTATGATCATGAACAGGTTAACCATGGAGAACCAAATGTATTGCACTAAAATGTCTAAAGTAAGGGTTACACTTTACATTTTACAGTGTCCTTGATACACTGCAACTGCACATTTAAATCCTACGTAATATTAATTAGCTACATGTACCTATTATATATGGTTAGAAAAAATGAAATCTCCTGCACATTGGATTGGCTAAGTAGAGAGTGAATCATTTAATAGACTTTATTATTCTTGTGTGAACTATTCTTTCCATTTAAAATGTATGATGGTACATTCATCAGTCACATAAACCATAACATACCTTGTCTCTTTTTCATTACGTTTGTTTTCTCGGATGATATCATACATTGGATCTTCATGTGCCTGGAGAAACACAAAACCTATATGAACATCTGTATAACTTTCAGGTTTAACATACTCAAAAGATGTACAATTCTAAAGAACTTACCAAAACAATTAAACTGTCAATATAGCAAATGTCATAGACTATACTTTTTAGCTTAAATGCAAATAAAGGTTTAGTGTGGATATGTAGATGCAGTATTTCACAGATCATGTGACCTCAACATGTCAGACCCCTAGAGGTGACCTACCTTATTAAAAACAAATCAGCTTTTATTAGTCCACTGATATGACTCAAGGACAAGATTGTATTTTTTTATGTCTTCATGTGCACTTTTGAGGAAAACGATTCTGTATGCATCTTTCAAATTGAGTTGAGAGCCATTATTGAACAATGGAGGAGTCAAAAACTACAGCAAACAAAAAAGATGCACAAAACTGCAAAAGCACAGGTGTGGTAATACATGTTGTAAAGTACTGATACATAAAAATCTGTTTTAGTTCTACAGGTCAGAGACGGTACAAAAAAATATGAAAGGTGAAATATGTAAACCTCAACGAAAAAATAACAACAACATGTCCAACTGAGCAGAGAGAAAGAGAGAGAGAAATTTGAGTTTATTGCCATTTCAGCTTCTTTGGCTATGTCATGGCAAATAAATAAATAAATAAATAAATAAATAAATAAATAAATAAATAAATAAATAAAAAAAAATTACCACATTTTATAAACACCACTTTTCTATAATTATAAAAAGTATACTAATAATCAAAAGTCACTAACAGCAATAAATAATACACAAGGTAAAATACATAAATAATAATAATAATAATTATATTAATAATAAAGTTAAAATATAAAAATCTAAAACAGTTTTTTAAGGTTAACTTTTGATAGAAATTGTACAATTTTAGAAGGATTCATATTTAAAAGTATTTCATTTAAAGTGTGTCCAGATAGAAATTGTTGTCTGATAACATTAAAAATAGGGCATTCCATAATATGTTTAACAGTTTGGTTTCTTTTGCAATATTGACATTTTGGTGGTTGCCCAACTGAGCAAGAAAATATATAATAATTGTTAATATTCTCATAAATTGACAGTTTACAGTAGAGCTATAAAGAGTATTAGTTACATTTTAGATACAGCATTGTGTTTTTTGAAATGAAAATGGTTACAAATCAAGCAAGAGGACAATTTGACCTACGATTAGGTTAACTTCTGTCGAAAGGCTTAAAACCAAATTCTCATCAAATATTGACCAATTAAATGCTCTCTGGTATGTAACGTGTGCTGCCCTCTACAAGACACTTCTCATTTGCTTTTCATTTTATGCGCTTGATGCCATCCACTCTTACTAGCAGAGCTGTGATAAAAAGCTTTTTAAAAGGGAAGAGCAGCTCTACATCTCACAACATTACTCTGTATCAGTTGAAATTATGTCAAACATCGAATAAAAATGCACATTTCAAAGCACTTCACAGAACCTTTAAAGTTACTATACATGTTTCAAAGGTGCAGTATGCAAGTTTGACACCCAGTGGTTGAACTAGGTATTGCATTCCTGGATCAAAACACAAGCGCAGGTTACCAGATTGGTTTCAGGTTGACCAACAGGGGTCCGTTCTTCGTACCTCGCTTAAATGATCTAAGATGATTTGGCAGATCCTGGATCTTTTAATCTTGATAACTGAGCTCTGGCTAATTTGGTTCTTCAAACAAGTTCGTGAATCAGATTAAAATGTCAGGATGAACTGATCTGAGATCGCTGCATGTGTTGTGAAGGACAGATCTATCGATCCTCGAAATCATGATCAGCAATGCAACGATTGGCTGACGGCACAGCAGCGTAATGACATTATCTGATTAATATTCAATTATCCATGTGAGCAAATTACATCAAATTCATAGGAAACGATTTGTTAAATATGTTACACAACAACTTTCCACCTTTGTATTGGGCTGCAGGCTTTACACTTTCATGTGTCAAGAGTATTTAGCAATTTATTTAGTTTTACAGTTAGAGTGGAGTTTCTTTACTACAGTAGGCATAGTAGTGTTATAGTAGCCGGTTTCTTAATCGGTGTAAAGAATAACTGGATGTTTACAAAAACATTTTGATATTGGTAAAGGTGTCTGCACCTTTTGTGAAGCATCAAATCACCGTCATATTAGCTGTCAAAACATGTTCATGACTACATAAAGATATATTAACATTTTTTTTTAAATATGTTTACTATTTTCCCAAGTCTATACAACTACTACTGTAAGAAAATATCAGAATTCGCTACATACTTTCAGTATTATCTTTGCTTGAACTGATCCGATCTAATCCTGTTTATATGAAATGAGCCTGCTCCCTAGCAGGTTTGAGCTACCACAACTGTTGCTATGACAACAACTCAGTTTTGAAGAACGAAACGATTCTGGATTGTCAAATCGTCAATAACCAAATCCAGCTAATTGAGTAATCCATGTACGAAGAACAGACCCCAGGTGTGTGCCTGACTATCAAGCCTTTGAGAGCTGTTCTGACTGAATGAATGAGTATAATACACAGTTTTCCACCAAGGCAACCTGTTGTGCTGAAATATAATTGGCTGAAGTGGCAGTGGGCAGGTAAAAGGAACCAAAACAAACACAGTGTTCCGGCACGTAACTCACATTTTCAAAGCAGAATATCTGACTTCAGCATTGTTTTTCAGATAAACAAATATGCTCACCTAGCATTTTTCTTAAATATCTGCACACATATTATGGCATTTTTATACTGTAGAAGTGTCAAAAACTAACATAAAGCACCTTTAAATAAATGACATACAGCAGCAAAAGTAGCCATTAGAAGTGGGTCATTTGTGTTACTCACCACCCTGAACTGCTCCAGTTTCTGGTTGCCTTTAATGAAGAAAGGACATTCTTTGTCTCCTGTTCTGTGGCCGTACTTCTTACATCTCCAGCCTACACACAGATGAGCATTTAAATTTTCTCCATGACCTTCATCGACATTTAAAAAGGTGAAATATCACTTATGGGATATCGCAACTCTTTATTATAAAGCCTCCTTTCTTGCCATCTCTGAGAAACGACAGGCAATAGACTGAATGGTTCAAGCCTGAAGTCAGTACAGGAGCTTCAATGATGCACGTAATGCAGAAATGTTTAATTTTAACAATCCGCTGTAAACACAGATTCTGTAAAATGGCATTATGAATACTTACAATACAATCAACTACTTTTAATTTGTTATTTGCAGTGAAAAACCTATAAAGAATTTTTGTATTTTGTATATTTTTGATTTGAGAAGGGAGGCAAGGTCATAATAGTTTTGGATTTTTCATTAGTTTTAGTTTTTATTTTGTTTAGGCTTTTTCTTTTCAAATTGAGTTAGTTTTAATGAGTTTTTAGAGGCAGATTTAATAGTTTTTATATTTTGAAATTGCTTCGTTTTAGTTTAGTTTTTATTAGTTTCAGTATTAGTTTTTTGTTTGTTTTTCTGTAAATTAGGATATTTGTTAGGTGCAAGATTCAAAATAATCAGAATAAATATTGTAAAATAAAAACTCAACCAAAGATGGACTACATTTTTTCACTACCATCTACCCATCCACAAATTCAAATACAACAGCCCGCAAGATAGCTGCCTTAGGTAAACTATGTGTGCAAGACTGCTTCTGAGGGTTAATACACAGTAGTGATTTGAAGTTCAGATCTTTAACGCGAACCGGATTGTTTGTTTCAATCTTCCTAAGTTTAGACTCAACATATAAAAAATATGTAGTCAGCAATTAAAAATTTCAGTCAGTTAAAAAAAGTTTCTTACAACTACGTTGCAACCCAACTGACCCAACTTGTTTAAATTCCACTACGATTTTCTGTTATGAAATAAACTTACGTTTCACCAGATCCTCTCATTTAAGACTTCGGTCTACCCTCGCTGCAGGTGTTCAAGTTTAGTTCAATCACAGCAGACTGCCATGTACTGTTTGTATTCGTTTACTGAATCACGCAAGCGCAGTATTATTGGTTCACTGATTGTCAAATCTGTTAACCGTGTTTACCGTTCTAATAACTAAATAACTATGTATAGTACTGTATATATTGGTTTATTTCGAGTCAGAGGGCAGTATTAGGCATGATAATACGCAAGTAGTTTGTGGATAAGTGCTTAATGTTACTGAAGACATGAATAGTTTAAAATGATTCAGTTCGATTTGGTGAATTAGTTCAATCGGTTCACTTAGAAGATCTGGTTGAAAAGAACGATTAATACGTGATCACAATCACTAATACAGAAATAAACTTATAAAATATTAAAATAAACTTAAACTATTATTTGGCACAAATGTGTTAAATTAAGACTTTTAAGTATCTTCTCAGGTCTTATTTACAGTTGACACTGCGCTGCGGTCATGTCCAGCCGTTGTTTTTGTCGCGGGAGCAACAGGGGATGACTGAAGGAGGACCTGGCCGATGGCATTAGCAGGATTACAGACTGCTGTAAGGGTCAAACACCAGGCAGGGCGAAGTAAATAGATTTACTTTTAAAAGGCATTACAGTCTGTATAAAAATACATTTACAAAGACAAAAACAACGGATGTTTTTCTATAATTTTAGTTAGTTTCACTTAGTTTTGTATGTAGACAACATAGTTTCAGTTAGTTCTTGTAGTTTTAAAAACTCCCGTTTTTTTAGTTAACAAAAATGTTTGTACAATTTTAGTTTTTTTGTTCGTGTTCGTTAACTATAATAACCTTGCTGGGAGGGTTATTTATGTTCTGTGCATATATTAATTACATTCAATATATGCATAGCTTTATATATATATATATATATATATATTCTGTCACCATTTACTCACAGTTCTTGTTTCTTTCAAACTGCTGAACTCAAAAGAAGACATGCTAAAGAATCTCAGAAACCATTAGCCCTTGACTCCCATAGTACTATGAATTTTAATGGCTACTGTTTTATTACATTCTTCTTTTACATAAATAACTTCTTTTGGAATCACATGAGGGTAAATAAATGGCGAGTAAGCTCAATTTTTGTGAGATCTATTCCTTTAAAATTGCTCAGTTTATCATAGTGAAAGAAAAAGCAAGAGTAAAAGTTGCTTCAGAATCAATTTCAGAGTACACCATGACTACCACTAGGGGGTGAAATGTATCAGTTATACATGGGAATATCTGAGATAGTGTAAAGGCAGCTTAAGAATGAAGTGAAGGCATCTGATCTGCTTACACTGCATGACCTTCACCTCTTTCCCCAGAGGCATCCACAGGCCTTTGGTGGGAGCGTGAGCCAAGAAGCTCCTGGCATCCTCATTGCCGGGGTCATCAGGAATACAGTCCTCTGGTTTCTCGGTGTCTTCCTGCAAAAGCAGTCCTGCATGTATTGAAAAATGCTCACTCGAAAAATTGAGATCTATCGCATTTACAAAAATCTCTGATAGGGTGTGCGCGATATTCATGGTCTTTGCCGAAGTCATGTTTGTTGTTTTAGATGATAGCGTCGGGTCAGTTTTTTCTTCTGTAAAACACAAATTAGGATATTTAGAAAAATTATGGTTGCTGGGACCAACTGACTTCCATAATAAAATAAACAAAAGACCTACTATGGAAGTCAATGGGTATTAGCAACCAGCATACAGAAGAAAGAAACTCAAAGAGAGTAAATGATGCAATATTTTTCATTTTTAGGTGAACTCTCATTTTCTCTCTGAACTTTCTCTATTTGAAAAATCCCAAAAAAATATACCTGTGTTTTGTTTGTTTTGTTTTCCTAAATATCACAACACAATATTGATGTATTACATCTCAACAAACAAGAAGCAAATATTGAACGCATTTCAAGTTTATTATTTTTTTTAATCTATTTCACCAAAGTAGCTTTACACAAAATCAGAGCAGAACATTAGCGCGTGCTCACACAGGTGAGTGGGCTTGACAAACCACCTGTAGAAAACACACACTTTTATCTCTCTGACACGTTAATCAACACTTTCAGCAGTTTTTGCACATTTGTACCAGTCACATTCTCACTCCAAATCTCTAAAAACAAAACAAAACTTTGATAGCTTTATATTTTTGAAGAATTTATGAAGTGTGCTTCACACAGGTAAGTGGGCTTGACAATTAACCTGTAGAAACACTATATATTTTTATTGACCTTATTCTTCAATGCGGAAGTGCGCTCGTTTTGGCGATCATTTTAGAACTTCCGATTCAGCTGCCTATGGGAGAAACGCCTAGGAATAACAAACTGCAAAAAACGGTTAAACTACTTTCTCTACAAACAAAAGCAGAATCACATAATAAGAAAATATCAGTTTGCAACATCAAGCAGCTGAACGAGTTGTTTTTAACGTCTAAAAATGAATGGTAGTGAATGAGACCAGAAGTCTCATTCCAAAAACATTTAAATAGCTGCGCTTACTTGTACGAGGAGAATAAGGTGAATATATGTCCCTGTGTCGAGTTTCTTCATGAGAGTTATGCTTTTTCTGAATGCTACTTTAATGTACAAGTAGCTCAAACTCGCTCATTTAGAGAAAGGAACAAGCGGATGTGCAACGAATTTAATCAAAGTAAACAAAAAACAAAAGTTTCCATATGGAGCATGACAGTTGTTAAACATTTGCTCCAACAGGGTTTTTACCCTTCTTACTCTCTGCAACTTTACCAAACTGACCAATCACAGAGCTTGCATGATCGCAACATGTAGTTAAAATTTTTGAGAGGTGCACTTTAATGTCGGCATCAGCCACGCTCAAAGGCTATGTGATTGTGCGAAAGCTGCCGACCAAACTTGCGCTTGATGCAGACGTATAAATCAGCCTTAACTCTAGCACTTCATTCTCTTAGAACTAGAGTTCCTTTGTATAATTAGCACTTCATCTTTATATTGCCTAAAAGTGTCTGCTAAATGACTACATGTAAATGTTACATCTGTGTCTCTAAGAGACACAATAGCATGTCTTTCCTAAATGAATCACTTGTTAAATAAATCTTTTGAGAAAATGATTCAATGATCCATTCATAAAGACTATTCATAATCTCTAAAAGTAACATTCACTTTGAATGAATCGTTTGATTATGAATAAATGATTCAATTAACCACTCATTTAGTTAACACAACACCATTTTTAACACAAAACAAACAATGTCATCAGTTTCGGTTGTTCCTTTACATGAAGTGTCTGAACCCTATACTATCTCTACATAATAATAATTAGATTTTGTGAAAACGACATTGTGCAGAAGTATATTATACATTGCATTAATAGGTATGATCAAAAATCCAACAGAAGACTACACAACACATGCGTGCACAGTATTACAAAATTTAAATATGATATTGATTATTTCCCTACTGAAAAAAACAGCTAAAACCAGCCTAGGCTGGTTGACCATGGACCGTTTCCAGCTATTTCCAGCCTGATCTTACCTGGTCAGGCTGGGAGATGACCAGATAAAAACAGCTTGACCAGCCTAACCAGGCTTGGAGCCCAGCCAAAACCAGCTATGCCAAGCTTATACCAGGCTGGTCAAGCTGGTCATTTTCCAACCTAAACAGCTAAGACCAGGCTGGAAATCCCTCTAAAACCAGCCTAGATTGGTTTACGCAGTTTTTTTCAGCAGGGGTGGCATGCGTAATATTGCGATTTTAGTTATTTTGTTCCTGAATGAATTTTAAATTATCCTGTGTTGCTTAGTTTTCTAAACGAGTCAGGCATCTTAAACAAATCATCTGAATGAATGAATAATGAATCGCTTATAAACTATATGGTGATTTTTTTTGTAAATATCGCACAACCCTAAGTTGTAAGATTTTCAACTTATCATCAACTCAAAGTATGACAACAATGGAAGACATCACCAAACCTTTATAAAACCAGGAGGAGCATTTTCATAGCTGAAAGGGAAAGGGGGAAAATAGTCAGAGGTATACAAGAGAAAACATGTAAAACTTGTCATTACAGAACATTTGAGCAGTTTAGATCGCGAACAGCTTTCTTCATAAGCACCACTGATGCCAAACTAATATAGTACAATTAAGTTACTTACAAAGTCTCCACATGCTTGAGTTTCTGCACCTCATGGATCAGTTTTTTGGTTTGGTGCTTGTATTTATCTTCATCTTGTCTTGTCTCCTTGTGTTTCTTTCGTTCACGTTTGTCCTCGCTGTGCTCTCGTCTTCGTTTGCGGTCCGACATTGTACACTTATTGAGGATTGCTACTTTTGAATGTATAATCACATCTTAGGTTAAAAACTTAGAATGTTTGTTTAGTTGTGGCTGCAAAGGCACATATGAAAGTCTGTTTGACCACTTCCGGTTGACGGAGGACGTTGTTGATGTCAAAATAAAAGTCTGCTAATATCTAAAAACTTAAAAGAAAAGAAATATATTGAGTTTGTATGAATGTTTGGAAGGGCATCCGCTGTGTAAAACAAATGCTGGATAAGTAAAACATTGCGACCCTTCACGAATAAAAGAACAAAGCCGAAGGAAAATGAAATGAGGATATATTGGGATGTGACATAACTTACTAAAATGTTTCAATAAAAAGATTCAGTGTTTAAGAGCTCTTTGGCTTCACTAGAAATTCTCAAGAAGAAACTGTTTGACCGAATATGTCACATTCATAAATGTAAGTTTACTCGTCAAAATGATTTTGTTGACAGAAATAAGGTTGTACATACACAGTAAACAATGCTGCGTCCCACAAAATTCTTTCTTTTAATTGTTTTTACAAATTTAAGCGAATTAAGCATAAAACAAGTCGTCCACCCAAAATACTTGATTCAGCTCATTCTAAATGATTAGTTTGAACAAGTACCAAAAATCCGTTTTTTGAGTGTAGGCAGTATGATACACTTATTTTATATATTTTAACCAGGTTTTGCTGGTTGCTACGGCGTTTTGTCTGTTAAGGTGTTGCTAGGCAGTTGCTTAGGTGTTCTGAGTGGTTGCTCGGTTACTAAGTCATTCATTTCTAGGTTGTTCCAGGTAGTTGTTAAGATATTGCTAGGTGGTTGCTAGGTTGACCACTGAGCGGTTGCAAGGGCATTGCTAGATGTTTGCCGGATGTTTGCTAGGTTGTTCTGGGTGGATGCTAATGCATTGCTAGGATGCTCTATGTGGTTAATAAGGTGTTGCTTGGTAGTTGCTAGGGTGTTCTGAATGGTTGAAGAGGTGTTGCTAGGGTGGTCTGAGTGGTTGCTAAGGCATTGCTAAGCGGCTGCTAAGGTGTTCTAGGTTAGGCTAAGGTGTTGCTAAATGGTTGCAAGGTGTTTGCTAGGGTCTTCTGAGTGATTGCTAAGGTGTTGCTTGGCATTTGGTATAGTGTTCTGATTGGTAGATGCTTGCTAAGATATTGCTAGGTGGTTGCTAGGGTGTTCTAAGTGGTTGCTAAGCAGTTACTAAGGCATTGCTAGGCGGTTGCTAGGGTGTTCTGACTGGTTGGTAGGTGGTTGCTAACATAAACGATCATGTTCTAGCATGAATAAGCATGTTGCTAGCATGTTTCTAGCATGTTTCTAGCATGAATTAGCATGTTTTAGCATGGTTCCAGTATGAATTAGCATGTCTCTAGCATGTTTCCAGATTTTTAGTCTGTATGGATTATTATGTTGTTAGTGTGTTCAGTGTAAAGCAGGGGTGTCCAAACTCGGTCCTGGAGGGCTGGTTTAGCTCCAACCCTAATCAAACACACCTGAACCAGCTAATCAAGCTCTTACTGGAAATACTAGAAACCTCCTAGCAGTTGTGAGGCAAGTTGGAGCAAAACTTAGCAGGACACCGGCTCTCCAGGACTGAGTTTGGACACCCCTGATGTAAAGTCAATGGCAGGTTTTTATAATGGAAGTCTATGGGACACTTGTTAGGGTGCCATAAGTAGTTGCTAGGGTGTGGCTAGTAAGTTAAAAGGTTATCCGAGTTACATGAGCCCAACTTTAGGTCTGTATGACAGTCTGCTTCAAAGTTATCAGGTCATAAAGTTTGGTCCAATGTTAAGTCTATGGGACTTTTCTGAATTTTCCAGGTCAGTTTTGGGAAAACCGTAAGTCGGATCAGTTGGAAAAGAAATAGCAACCCGAATCAGACCAGTTGGGAGGTTTGGTGTTGAACCGTCTAGGAGGAGATGCATATAGAAATTAGACTCAGAAGAAGATGGAAGAAGAATATGTTTCTGTAGTATAACAGTCCGTTGCCTTAATGAATTAAACTGCGTTAATAAATGAAAATTGTCTGTATGGAAATACATATAAATATCTATTATTTATTTAGCTGTAAAATCGAATATACAATATATACATACACTAAATCTATAAAATCATCTAAATCTATTCATAGATGTCTTTTAAGAGAACCAAATAAACAAAGAGACTTGATTATGTGAACTTTTTATTGCAAAAACTGAAAAAAGACAAAAGTACAACCATCTCAATATTGCATTTTTGGTCTTCACTAAATAGTTTGAAGGCTAAAAAGCCATCAAATGTAAACAACCCTCCACATATTTGTTTATGAATATTAAAAAATAAGTAAAGCCAAGTGTAAATACAATCCTTCTTTTAATATCAGTGATCCAAATGTAAGAGTTGCGGATACAAATGTGTGAATTCAAAACATATAAAATAAAGATGAAACACACCACATATAAAAGTGAATCTTTCCAGTAGAAAAATGAATGTGCAGTATCGTGAAAATAATAAGCAAATAACATGTAAAAAGTCACAGCATGGTTCTGTAGCACAAGTTACACTCTACTGTAAAAAAGGATGTTTTTTTATGTCACTTACACAGTCCAAAGTGAGGGAGTCAGTAAGCATTTATAAATCAATCTAAAAGGGGTGCATTTATTTGATCAGAAATACAGTAAAACGGTTCAATTGTAAAATATTATAGTAGAGTAATGGTTTACATTTTTATTTATAGCTGAGATTTAAAGCAGAATTTACAACATTAATAATCCAGTATTCAGTGTCACATTTTTAATACATTTTTTTAAATTTTGTTTGGATTATAAATCAAATAATATGTGCACTAAATTATGAATAATAACTCTTCACAATTACTATTTTAAGTACATCATTAAATAAAGCCTCTTTAAATAATAAAAATCTGATTTAAAGTTGAGTGGAAACTGTGATACATTAAATTTTTGAGGATTTTATGATGAAAAAGATCCAAAACAGCAATTTGTTTGAATTATTTGATCCTTTTTTTGAATTTTAAAGTCTTACAGTGTCCTTTATTAATAAAAGAAAGTATAATTGTAATGGTACTTTTGACTAGTACTCATTTATAGTTCAATATATGAAGCATGATAATAATATTAATATACTGATGATAATAATAATAATAATAATGATAATAATAATATTTTGATGATGATGAGAAGGATAATAATAATATATTGATAATAATAATAATATATTGATAATAATAATAATACATTGATAATAATAATAATAGACAATATTAATAATATATTGATAATAATAATAATAAAAATAATTGATAATTATAATAACAATATATTGATAATAATAATATATATTTTTTCAGAGCAGATCATATCAGAATTATTTCTGAAAGATCATGTGACTCTGGAGACTACAGTACTAATACAGTATATAACAGGAGTAATAAAAAAATTATAAACCTGTAAACCACATTAATTAGTAAGGATGTTATTTTAAATTGCATTAATATGCAACAATATTACAGCTTTCCTTTATTTTGATCAAATAAATGCACCCTTGGATGGTGAGCAGAATAGACTTCTTATAGACATGTAAAACACTATCCCACACCTCTGACTGGCAGTGTAAAAGTCCACAAGGATCCATAAACAAGTGAAAGGAAAGGAGAAGTTCTGTTCCAGATAATCCAGTCTCTAATGACTCCTCCACTAGATGGCATTGTTACCCATGAAGTGAAGTGATCGACCTCTGAATTTCAGCAGCTTCCCTCAAAGTAAACCAGAGTCTTTTTTTTCAGCAGCAGCTTTGAGGTCTTCAAAGAGAAGAGAGAAAGTCCTTCAGACCACCTTTCTTGCCCTGTTGTTTGTTTTCCAGCATGAGGATCTTCTTGAGACGAGCGAATGGTGACGATTTCACACTGCTGGACTTTGATGATGAAGATGAGCTGGTGTTTGAAGATGCTGACCTGCATTAAAAAAAGTAATGTTGTCACAATACTGGAATTTCCAACGTTGATATGACACTTAAAAAATACTGATGCTAGATACCATTTTATATACAAGGAGGAAATACTGCATTAATTTAAAAACGACAGTAAATATGAAGGTCTTAATTTATTCATTAGCATAAGTAAAAATCTCAATCATGGTTCAGGATATTTACTACCAGTATTTGAATCAGCCCAGCTATTTCAATAAATATTTAAATGAATTAATAAAATATATCAAACATAATATAAAAATAAATCAAATAAAATTAGATAAAAACAAATCAAACAAACCTTTAAAAAAAAAAAAAAAAAAAAAAAAATCGAACATTAAAATAAAATAAATAAAAACAACAAAAAAACCTAAACCAACAACAACAAAAAACAATCAAACTTTAAATAAAACCAAAAAAATTACAAATAAACAAAAACTGATTAACTAACCTAAACAAACAAAAAAGCAACAACCAAACATAAAAAAATACAAATAAACAACTACAATTACAAATAAAAAAACTAATTAACTAGTCTAAACAAACAAAAAGCAATCAAGCAAAATAAATTAAATAAAAAAATGTCAATTTTTTCAGGTTTTTAAATGTTTGATAAGTATTTAAAATTTTTAAAAGTTATCTGACATATAAAGTTGAAGTCATTTATTCATTGATTTATTTTCTTTTTCAAATATTTCCCAAATGATGTATAACAGAACAAGGAAATTTTCACAGCATTTCCTATAATATTTTTCTTCTGGAGAAAGTCTTATTTGTTTCATGTTTGCTACGTCTATAAATATTATATTTAGAGATGTGTTGAACAAAATCATCTTTTTCGTTTACCTTGGTGTGCTGCTGGGTGTTCTGTTTGCCACAGATTTGGGAGTGGCCCAGTTGACTGTCTGTGGTGTTCGGTGTTTGCTTGCGCTTCCAGGCGTACTTTTGTGTTTTGAAAGGGACACCAGAAGCTCCCGGTTCATTCCAGGTTGTCTGGACACTTTATTACAGGTGTGACAGGTCGCCATCTAGAACAAGAAAACAGCTCGGTTAAAAATTAAAGTCAAAATTATTATCCCCCTTAAGAAACACAAATATATGTTAGTTTTTATTTGATTGTTTTTAAACATACAGTTGTCCAATGACTTGCTTAATTAGTTTCCTGGTTAAGTCTTTAAATTGCACTTTTAAGTGCTTTAATTCTAGTATCTTGCAAAATTAATAATATATTAAAATATTAAATACTCCATAATGGCACAGAAAATACTAATTTATTTAAATTTTTAAGAATTTGTTGTAAAACATATCTCCTTTTTAAACACCCCCTGGTAAATAATTGAAAACGAATTAAAAATACACATCAAGGAAGAAAAAAAGTACTAAACTAATACATAAAATAATCGATTGTAACATTTTAAAAGTATAAAATTCACACACAAAAAAAATGCAAATAATGGAAAAAACTATTCAATTGTAAAGAAAACACAAAGAATGTCTGACATCAGATTAATTTAAAACATCAGATGTAAAACAGGGATTTTAAACATGGAACTGAAATAACATTGATGATCTTAATCTTTTTAAACGAATAGTGTTGACAGAAAAGTATGCCATATTTCCATGTCTCAGCTAACAAAAAAAAAAATGGATTGCCCAATCCATTCACGTCAACTATACAGCCGCACACAAAAGCCAAACACAACAGCAATACAATTCAATCTTCAACATTAGTAAAACCAACATCTATGCTTTTTGTATGTGGTTAAACTTCCAAGCTAACAAGTTTTTCTTGCTAGTCATGACCATGAAAACACTCATCTGAGGTATTTCACAAACTCTATGTGAACGTGAGCTCTATATAAAGCAAAGCACAGGCCAAAAGAACACTCAACACATGCCTGAAGGCCAGAAACTGACAAAAGCCACAACTAAATAAAGCTGACCAACCACTGCCGCTTCCAAACTTCAGCTTCAATAGCGAACACTTATAATCACCAAAAAATAATAATTATAATAATAAATAAATTATTAAATTAAATGATAAATAAATTAAACAAAATAAAACTGATAGACATGTTCCACATATAAAAACAAATTAATAATGAAAACCGCTTCTCTTTTGAACTATTCAAATAAACTTGTAAAATATATCACAACAGCAGTGTAAAAATCTGCATAATAAATCACATCTTAAAAATAATACAACAGAAAATACTGTAGATCATTGTTCAAAATATTACTGTATTTTTGATCAATAAATGTAGGCTTTTTACATCTTACAGACATCTCAATCCCATTCAAATTATTTTATTATTTCTAAACGTATGATCAGAAAGAACTGCGCCAATTAAGTCATTTTATATAACTCATTCTGTTTAGACTTACCGACACAAAGGCAGCCATGGTTTGTTGAGGTAAAAAGTGGCTAAGTTGAAATGTAGATGATTTGAGATGATCCAGGGATGTGTGTGTGTCTGCGTGAAAGCAGCTGTGTTTACTACAACAGCCTTCATGTCTGGAGATTTAAAGAGCAGGATAAGCCAATCAGCTGCAGTGGGAGGTGGAGTTTGCATGAATGACTCTGGACTCTGATTGGCTACTGAAGGAACAATGTGTAACATCTGAACAATTATTTATGGAATGTCTCAGGAGCCTCACAAAAATTGACATGACTATTATTAAATAAGGGGATAAGCATGATTTAGTGCTGCTTTTACCTAATATTTTAATGTGAATTGAGAACTGAGATCAAATAACTTCTACGATCATTATTTATAAGTTCATAATGATTTAAATGATATCTTTTAATTCAGATATGCCATATGTTTCATTATATTCATGTATTTTTCAATCAAGAAACCACTGTAAGTGCTTGTTCCTGTGTGTAAAATTTGTAATTATGGTAGTAATCTTAGTGTAATCTTTATTTGTTCATTCGTTTGTTTAGGTCAGTTGGTTTGTTGTTTGAGTTATTTGTTTATTTGTTTGATTGGGGAGGTTGTTTGCTTATTTGGGGTGGGTTGCTTGTGTGATTGGGTTTGTTGGTCGTTTGGGTTGGTTGGTTGGTTGGTTGTTTGTTTGGTTGTTTGAGTTGGTTGTTTGTTTGTTTGTTTGGGTTGATTGTTTGGGTTGGTTGGTTGGTTGTTTGAGTTGGTTGCTTGTTTGTTTGTTTGTTTGGGTTGATTGTTTAAGTTTGTTGGTTGTTTGGGTTTGTTGGTTGTTTGTTTGGGTTGATTGTTTGGGTTTGTTGGTTGTTTGTTTGTTTTTTGAGTTGTTTGTTTTTTGATTGTTTGATTGGGTTGTCTGTTTGGGTTGGCGGTAAGTTTGTTGGTTTTTTGTTTGTTTGGGTTGATTGTTTGGGTTGGTTGGTTGTTTAAGTTGTTTGCTTGTTTGTTTGAGTTGTTTGTTTGGGTTTGTTCGTTGTTGGTTTTTTTGCTTGGGTTTGTTGGTTGTTTGTTTTAGTTGTTTGTGTTGTCTGTTTTACTGTTTGTTTGTATTTGTTTGTTTGTGTTGTTATTTTTTTTCTTTGTTTGGGTTGGTTGGTTATTGGGTTTGTTGGTTTGTTTGTTTGGATTGTTTGTTTGCTTGGGTTGGTTGTTTGTTTATTTTGGTTGGGTTGTTTGGTTGTTAGCGATGCAGTGGTGCAGTAGGTAGTGCTGTCGCCTCACAGCAAGAAGGTCACTGGTTTAAGCCTCGGTTGGGTCAGTTGGTATTTCTGTGTGGAATTTGCATGTTTTTTCCTGCTTTGCGTGGGTTTCCTCCGGGTGCTCCGGTTTCCCCCACAGTCTAAAGACATGTGGTACAGGTGAATTGGGTAGGCTAAATTGTCCGTAGTGTTTGAGTGTGAATGAGTGTGTATGGATGTTTCCCAGAGATAGGTTTCAGCTGGAATTGCATCCGCTGCTTAAAAGAAAAACATATACTGGATAAGTTGGCGGTTCATTCTGCTGTGGCGACCCCAGATTAATAAAGGGACTAAGCTGAAAAGAATGAAAGTAAATAAATGAATAAATGAATGTTAAGTAATGAATGAGGTTGTTTGTTTAGGTTATTTGTTTGTTCGGGTTGGTTGTTTGTTTTGGTTGGGTTGTTTGTTTGTTTAGATAGATTGTTTGCTTGGGTTAGTTGGAGTAGTAATTTAAAAATTAAAATTAAAACGCCCTAAAAAGCTTTTTGCTTAAAAAAAAATAAATAAAAGGTGCCCTGATATAGACCATTATAGAATAAAACTAATAATAACATTTTACTTAAGTCCAGACCTAATAAAGGTATAGTTTTATTCCATGATGTATAAATACATCAATCCTTGGCATTTGACCACAATGCTGACCACACTAAACAAAGAGCTTCAGAAGAACATGAGATCAAGATTACAGATAAAATAGGAAACTCCACTACTAAATACTAGTTAACCACAACTATAAAAGTTGTCTGGTTGTCCATATAAAGACTGCAGAGTCTGTCATATCCTTTAATCTCCATCATACAGCTCAGGCCCAGAATAACTTTCATCCATGATCAAAATCTGCCCATTAAGCAGGGTCGTAAACACAATGCTCAAAGCAGAGACATTCAACACAGTTGGCAAAGAAATGAATCCTTAGGATAAACACTGTGTCAATATTAAGCAACGATTCAGACGGGGATGAGAGATGAACATAGTTTTTTCTGCTTTGATGTTGAAAGCTTATCTAACTAAATTAAATGATGATGAAACTGTGGTGTTTTACACACACACATGAAAAAAAATCAAGCTGGTTAATTCACATGGTCAATTTCTAACATCTGTTGGTTAATGAATTCTTTCTGGGTAAAAATATTTTAAGAATTGGAAATGTGAGAGCAAAAATTCATATTTATGATGGCCAAAACCCCAAAGCTCCATTCTGAGAAGTTAATGTAATTAGTTTGCTGACACCAAGTAACTAATAGGAAAAGCAACAAAGAGAGAGGATGACTGCATATAGATCATCCAGTAAACATAATAATTGTTTGAGGCTTTTTTTCTTACTTAAACCTTTTCAATCTGCCCAAATGAACATGCACGTTGTGGTCTAAAAGTTTGAGAACATTTTCCCATTTAACAGTGACAAGTTAATTCAAAAGTTAACGGTCACCCATGATGCAAAATCAACTTTTGAAAGCTGTTTGAACATAACTGTGTGTATAGGTCTAGTGTGTTCACAGCCATATTGGAGTCATTTAAACAAAAGTCTATCTTTTTTAATTTCCTGACATTAAATCCAAATCCCAGTGATTTTGAGGCACGCTACAACACGATGAATAGGAGTGCATTTACCCCAAACACTGAGTTGACTGACAGGAGCGTATTAACAGGCCTCCGTAGTAATACGTATACAAATATCCACAGAACAGGATTTGCTAAGAAACTAGGATTAAAAGATCTGTTCCAACTCTCTATGATCAGCTGCCCCTCATGTTTGTAATAAAAAGAAGTAAAAAAATATTATTGTTTTATCTTTAATTGTTAATTGCTAAATATACTGTTATCTACTGTTTTCATTTTCTTTCACTACTGCGATGTCATTTGTATTCATGTTATGTTTAATGTAAACATCACAATTGTTTTGGCAATACAAATGTAATTTTTGTCATGCCAATAAAGCAAGTTTGAATTTGAAAGACAGAATAAAATCTCAATACTGTTTTGTTCTATAAAGCTGACAATTTTTTTTTTAATTTTAAATAAAACATTGTGATTTAGAGCTTTTTTTTTTCAGAAAACAACAATTGGTCAAAATATCCCAATTTTCCCATTGTTATGATAGAAAATGCCACCAAATATAGCTTTTTTTAACTTGTCTGAAGTGCAAAAGATTGGTTTAGTGCTGTCTAAAAAGTCAGAAGTATTAGCCCCCTTTCATTGCTTTTAAAATTTTTTTTTTAAATATTTCCCAAATTAAATTTAACATTTTCAAAGTATGTCTGAATTATCTTCAGAAAGAAGCAAATGTTTAATTGTATATTTATTTAGGCTAAATTAAAACCTTTAAAATGATTAGCCCCT